TATATATATATATATATATATATATATATATATATATATATATATATATATATATATATGCAGGTTTTCACATCATCTCTGTTAGTTTCACTTGTTCCTTTTATCGCCGGTTTTATATTTTTCGCCGATACCCGGGCTGGTTTTGCCGCTGATCGCTTTCTTGTTGATTTATTGTTCTGGTTTAATTACAGCACAGCAGTCAGGAGTACCCTAATGTGCCTTTGCAGAAGCATTAAGTTTGATCCCCTTCTAACGGCACGTTAGAATGGAAGAAGAAGGGGGAAAAAAAAGATACGAAAACATGCCAGCTCTCGATGTAAAGAAATGCAGATTAACATCCCAAAGATGAGTCGATTTTCATTTTCTTTGCATTATGAGATTGCACCTGAATTAACTTGCGTCATTTAGACTGAAGTGCAGCAGTCAATCCATAATAAAAGATGAATTTTATTACTTTAATCTCAGCAAGTATATAGTATTGATCAGAAAGAATGGATTGAAATGTAAAAATGCTGTAAAAAGCGGGCACTTTTCATTTTTCTGGATTATTTCTCGCCGTTTTGCTCGGCTGTGTTGAATAAGACTCAGTGTTTTTCCACTGCTTAAACTAAAGGTTGAATGTAGGAATTAATGATGTATACCTCCGCAAATTGATTATACAGCTTAAGGCGCTGCATCTGGGTGATTTTTCATATTAACAACTCACTAATAGTGCAGTGCCTCACAGAGATAGTGCTCCCGCTGTCTGTTTTTCATGCAGCAGTTGTGTACGTTTGGATGGAAGCCACCTTGACAAGCTGCTGCAGCCACCAAAAGAGCCTGCAATTGTCTGATACGTGTGGATTATATTTCCCCTCAGCCCGACTGTTTTATTCCACTTCACTGAGGTTGCCCGTGATCATTAGCAATCTTTCCACTCATGTCTCACATAATGAAGTGAATGAAGTGTCATTTTCAATCAACTGCTATGTTGATCCAACTTAATTAGTACTTTAGAGGATACAAAACAAGATTAGGTAACTCACGGTACTCGATTGCCAGAGCTGTTTGTTTTGGCTTTGAATTAACCCTCAGTTCTGCTGCTGCTCAAACTTTTTCGTCACAGAAGAACAAAAGTTGATTACACATATTGGCATTTTAGGCCCTTGCTGGTATATATTGCATGATAATATTTATTGTGATAGAAAAAAACAACAACATTATTGGTCATGTTTAGTGTGGTTTTTGCACAGAGAGAAGAATTCTTGTGAAGCACCGGTAAGTGTGTTGACACACTTTTAAAAACTAGCGTTTGGAGATTAAGTGGACTTGCAAAATTTAGGTTTGGACAAAATTTAAAACGTGTTGGCTAAAAACAAAATCACATTAAAGTGAATTTTTTTTTTTGCAGATGTGCAGAGTGGAGAAAGTACTAAGCAAAAATAAAAATAGCAGCAAAGTAGTTATAGTCGTAGCAGTAAATGCACAGAGAAAGTAAACACTTTGCAGACTACACAGTTTTTACATCATTTCTTCTTTGTGTAAAATAGCACCTAACTTGAAATGTAAGCTACTTCATTAGCTTGCACATCTGAATAGGTACGCCGCTCGTACTCCTTTTAATCCTTTTTATGTGTATTCTGTGTTGTCCTGATGCACTTCTAATAAATATGCGTACAAAGTCTTAAATCCTTTTTTTATTGGAGTTGCATAATCACACTCATAGAAATG